AGGTACATATCTGCCATAGCAATAGAGCTGTTGTTAATATTGAGTCTTGAAACAATTTTGATAGTATTTTCTAATATCAAGGCATTTCAGATTACATGGTGATGATTAGGTGATTGATTTGCATTAAAATGAACTGAATTTATGGTTGACATTAGTGTATAACAGTGATTTTATGTTGTTATATTTATAACAAAATACAAATCCTGATTATTCTTTAATTGTTTATTTTTTGTGGTATGTTTTGCTTTACTTGCAGTAACTGTATAGTCTTATATTCATTCATGCTGTGTGTGAATTGTTTTACTTGTTTGTCTGAACTCATTCCACAGTTTTGGAGCAAGCTGGGCTAATCTTAGCAGGTGGACTTGAGATGCTATAGGAGCAGGAGGTTCTTATCTATATTGTGTAGCTTTCTCCCCTGCTAAGGGGTGGGGTAAAACTTGCCCAGAAGGTCACATATGCACGATGAGGTCTTAGGAGTAGGTGTTCAGGATTTCTAAATCCAAATCTGGCAATGTATTTTGTGTTCCTGGCCCTCCCCCCTTTGGGGTTCTAGGAGCCATGTTTGAAACTGTGTTCATACCTCCTCTCACAAGCTTATGGGATCAAATCTGGTTCACTTATTCAGGTACCACAGAAAAGTGTCCTAATGGCTTTTATTTTTGATATGAACTCACTTGGGTAGCTATATAAGTAATTGGGGATAACGTAATAATTAAGGATAACAGGAAAGTTGTTGGTCCTTCTAAGGTATCTCATCCACTAAACTATTAAAAAATAAATAAAAACCTCAAAGCCAGCCCTTATTGTTCAAATATTTATAAAGCCTTCCATTAAACTCCCTTAACTTTACTGCTTCAACCACACCTGAAGGCATCCTACTCCAAAAGCCAACTTCTCTTTTAGAAAATTAGAACTGCCCTAGTTGAAGATGACTCCTACTGTGTCAAAATTCATACTTGTGTGTCCTAGTCCTACCATTCTCACCATTAAGTAAAAAAATAGATGATGCATCAACACTATCAGTTATTCAAACAGTCTTAAACATCACAATAAGATCCCTTCTAACTCTTCATTTTTTTTCAAGAATAAGTTTGATCAGAACACTAGGGCCTTTGTGAACCATAGGAAAGTGGGGAGGTTTGGAGACCTGCAGCAGAGCAAGGGTATTTTATGCTAGTTATTCTGATGCATAATGTTTTACATATTTGTACATTTAAGTTTGTCATAATCTGATATTCAAACTGTAAAGATTAAATTTGTAACATCAAAAACACATCAGATTATTAAGAAATAATTAAAATATTTTTTTAAGGGAAGTTACAGTTGTATGCATTAGAGGAAAGTGTGCATCAGGACCTAAACATGTAGGGCAAAAATAACAGAAAATCCATAAAATATGACACTTAAATAAACATACATACATTGTATGTGAAAATGTAATTTAATGAAGCTAAAGACAAACATTTTCCTTACTGCTATGTCTTGTGGTATATCATCAAATCTAATTTTTAGCTTCGTATTTCATAATCAGTTGTACCTCCTATCTGTAAACTGAAAAAGACTTGCATTACTTTCACTTTTGCAAGACAAGTGACAGTCTGAAGTAGAGGAAAGATGAAGTATCAAGTTGGTAATACACTTGAGTATGCACCTAATCATCTACACATAGTCCTCATATGTTTGTATAATATATCTTAATCTCTAACATGAACATTAAATTCCTTTCTTTCTTTTTTATTGAAATATACTATAGAATAAAGATAGGATAGCTTGAGAATGTTTTATTCAACTTGTGCACATGTAAATAGTTCTATAGTAAGAAAACAATTACAAAATGTTGTTAAATATACTCATGTTCTTACATATATATTTATGTCATTTTGGTTTGAGCTAAGTGTATTTGAGGAAAAGAGGGTTGAGCATGAGATCTACAGACACGGAGGAAGAAATTGATGACTGGGTGTCTGTTTGATTAGTTTAAATTTTTCTTCATATTTAATGTTTTATGAACTGTACCATAGTGTGAGAAATAAAAAAATATATATTCACATTTAAAACAAAATTTGAATCTATTAGCTATCAAAGAGAAAATATTTCTTTAAGGATGTGTATTCTGCAGAATATTCTCAGTGAAAAAACAAAATAGACAGGAAACATTGTGTTCTTAATTCTTCAGTGAGAAGTAGAGGGGCTCCAGATTAGTGTGCAGGTTAGGAAGAGAGCAAGAGTGTTGTGACATAATGAATAGCAAGGGATTTAAAAAGTGGCCTAAAAAACCATTATTACTATAAATATTCATTCCACCTCCTAAAAATGACCATAATTTTCAGAATATTCTACATATTTTTTCACTAAGAATTTATTTAAAAGTTAGGGAGTATATAATATATGGTAACAAATAAAAAAAAAATTTTTCTCTCTTTCTCTCTTTTTTTTTTTTTACAGTCAGTTTAGACCATCTTTTCCAACACACATTGTGAATAATAATGCATACTTAATATTAATGTTGCATTTTGATGGTTTGTCTTATTTATTCTATCTGTTTCTAAGACATAAGTGAGAATTGTCTCCCACTTTAATTCATTTTCAGTATCTTCAAACACCATTTGGAAATAAAATGATCAAGAAGCTAAGTCTTGTGATTTTGAAGATTTATTTATATGCATACTTTGAAATGTTTGCAAATACAAAACTAGTTATCTCTACATTAAATTTGGTATTCAAAACTACAAATCATTTTTGGTGAAACCTTCAAATTCTGAGTCTGAATCACTGTCCTCAAATAGTTGGCACAACTTCTCTACATAGCAAGTGCTAAAGCACATTTGCTTTTAGCAATTTTTTGGATACTCTAACATTTGGGCAATGTTTATTTGCCAGCTGCTGTTGCAAAATTAGGAAGCACTATGGTGAGCGTGCAATTAGAGATTATATGGACATTCTAACATTCTTGTCATCAAAGGATTACTTTGACCCCAGTATTGCAAAAGTCTAAGTACATATTATTTATGATGATAAGGTAAATTTGACTATTTGTTCATGAAGATTAGGATGCCTATTATATTTGGAAAATTATGGTAAGTTAAAAATCTTTGAAGTGGAGAGATTGTTAAAATTGGTATTTTAAACTTAAACATTTTTAACTTTAGTGCTCAGCTGTTTAAATATATCATGTAGACCAGGTGTCTCATCTTGTGGTTTGGAGGCCATGAAAGAGTTTAGAAGATGCAACAAGTGATTTTGAGGGGAGCGTTTCTATTTTAATAATAATAATTTCCTCAAAGAAGATGACTTCCTCTTGCCTGTTTGCTTACTGATTTTGTGCTCAAAGAAAGCATTGTATAGGTTTTATGACTGAGAATTGTATTAAAAGTTAGAATAGTTTAAAAACAAACTGTATTATTATACTAGCATTTTTTTCGAGAACGGTACTTGTTAGTGGATATTTAGTTACTTGGCAAGTGATAGGCTTCAGTTGTTTCATTCACAAAATGGGGTCCTGGACTAAAAAATATTTAAGAATTATGTTGTAGTCTAAAATGTGTTTTCATTAGTTATGACTTTTCAGAAAATAAATCTTGTTTATATAGGATAAATAAATTCCTTATACTGAATGATTTACATTCAACATATTAAATGTTTTTGAATTTTCAGGACAACGCTTGCTCGATGGCGGGCAGCTCAACTTGCTGACCAAGGCAAAGGACTTCAAGAAAGGAGACCATTTTTAGCTTCAGAATGTAGTGATCTTCCCAAAGCTGAGAAATGGAGAATGCAAATAATTCGAGAAATTGCTAAAAAAGTAGCTCAAATACAAAATGGTAAGATGAAGTATAACTCATGTGACTGTATGCATATATTTTTCTGCTTGAGCTTGAAAAATAATGCACTTTTTTGTAGTTAGAATTATAAATTATTCATATTACATTTTCTTCCTAATATACAGAATGGGCTGTAAAATCTATATATACCAAACGTGCTTCTTAGTAAAATACATAAGCCAACCAGTCAATTTGAATTAATTACTGCCTTATTAATATTTCTTTTTTCTAGACACCCCTACTGCAGTGTTTATTGACAGAATATTTGTCCATTGTTAACCTTCCATTTTTCAGTAGAAATGCTCATCCCATTTATCAGACTAGGCCTTCAACATTTTCATTTAACAAAGTAATGAAGATATTTAGTTGAATATACTGTCATCTATTGTTTAAAGTTATATTTGATGTCAAAAACATAACAAAAAATTGCATCCTTTAAAAGAGCTTTAGTTATTTGTTATCATAAGTTCAGTAACTTGACTGTTGATCCTTTGAATGCTATAATCAGATTTATCCTATTTGACATTTATAGCTGTTTGGTGTCACAAGCAGATTTACTCCACAATGTCACAAAAGCTTTTCCTCATAGTGTGACAATTGGGATACTCACACGTCCTTGAATTTCCCACCTTAGTACCGTGTGTGCATACATCACCGAGCAAAAGTGCAACTAGTGGATTTGAATATTGAAAAAGTACCAAAAAGGTCAAATTCTAAATTTCATTTGTTAGTGTATAATTGACACTATTCGAGAACTCACTCAAAATTTAATTATGCACTCCAAGGGTTAATATTGTATTTCACTAAGCAGAGGTTTCAGGAAATTATTTTCCCCATTTTTTTCTGTTGTCTTAGCATGCACTAAATTGTCTCAACCATCATGAAAGTGATAAAATCCCTCACTCTTTTCTAGTTCTGGGCAATTAACTCAATTAGTTGAAATAGTTGATTGCCTATGAGCATTGATTACATCAGTTAGTGTCATATAACATAATAGTAAACTGAAATTATAATTAAATCAATTAATGTCACAAAAATAATCAAATAATCAAAACTAGTGTTGCCAAGTATTACTGTTTTTGATTATTTTAACTTTCCAAATAATTGAAATATTGTCATTATGAGTTCTCATTATTATTTTTGATTAATTCAAGATTGTTCAGCTGAATCAGTTAATATCATGACTTACAAAAATAATCACAGAATGCCCACAGCTTTTGTTTTTAGAATCCTGGGATTCTTGATGCTTAGAAACTGAGAGCCACAACATAAAATTGGGGTCTTGATGATTTTGTCTAATACCCCTGATGAAGAAAGGCCTACTTTTCAAAAACATTTGTCTTCTAGGTTGTTTTTGTTTTTACCTTTAACTCAATTTTTGAACTGACATTAATTAGTCCAAGAGCCAGACCCCCAAAATTGGACCTATTGGTACCACTAAAAGGGATAAATTCTACTATATATATATTTGATCTATCATATGTCTCTAGTTTTCAATTTTGTATGATAGCCATTTGAGTGTGGCAGCATTATACAAAAAAAATCTGCACTTAAATTCAAGCACCATCTCACAAAAGTGTATGACCAAATTCTTACAAATTCAACATAACCATCTAAAAGGACAGGCTATATTGAAGTTACTTGCATGTTTTATGTTATCTTCAAACATATTTCTTACTTTTAGGTATATATCCTCTCCATAACATGCACTAAGATTGCAAACATGTATTTTTGCCATATTTTTGTTTGCTTGTTAATAGAAACCACAGAAATTCTTATAAAGCTTTTTTTGCATGTTTGCTTTGTCTATGGTTTTCTTGGGGTATGTTACATGTATAGGTACAAAAAACACTATATTAATATGTCTTTTTTTTCCACAACCTCAACACTACCTGTGAAAGATTTTACTGCATAGGGCAACAAAATATGTTTAGAAGGCTTCTGATTTGTACTTGTTACCCCATAGACGATATCTTGAGTCAGTGAGATGTTGAATCTTAGGTGACACGGTAGATGACTCTTTCTGCCCTAAAAGAAACTGCAAGAATGTCTGGTAGACAGTCTGGTATATAAGAAGAGCCACTGTTTAACTCTGATGGAAAAGAAGCCAAACTGTTGCCACTTTCTGTTCTTGGATTACGCTTTTCAAATGAAGGGCAGCTCTCTGCAATATTGCATCAATGTTGGATTCTTTCCCTTTTAACTGCTTTAGCCTGTCAATTAAATTGATATTTTCTTTCACCATATCACTTTTAACAAGTTGCTCTCTGATGTAGGTGAATAGTTTCTCATAAATAATGTTTTTCTGCCTTTGAGCACTCAATATCACATATTGTCTGTTGAGCAAACTTTTCTGATGACAGGTGTGTTTTTGTCTTTCTAGTATGTTCACGATAACATGATCTATTATATTGACCTTCTCTTGCAAATAAGGCTGTAAAAAATTTCTAGCATTCTGGTGTCTTGCTTTTCTGTTGCAGCATTTCTGACAGCCTCATCAGACCACAATTCCATGCACTGAATTAATGTCTATCTGCTGTTGCTATTTTTCAGGTACTTGCTCCTTTTTGACAAAATATGCACACCGAGTCAACAGTCTTGATGTAGGCTCAGACACTGAAGAGGTTCTCCTATGAAATATTCTTGACCTTTGATAAATTCTTTCTGCTGTGATCTTCATTTTCTGTGGCACAAATTTTCTCCAAATCTTTTTTCATAGGGAACAAACTATGTCATTTTCTATAGTATGAAATGTTTGACACACTTTCTTCTACTGTTTTTGCAATGGCAAGATTTGGTGTGTGGTTTCATATTTCAGCAGCTTTGAGCAATGTTCTCCAAGATTCAATGTCCTTTGAAGTAGTCAGATTAGAGCTAAGTTCTTCTTTGATATGGTGAATGATGCAAACTCGAACTGTCTTGGCTTGCTTTGAAGGACCTGGACTGTCACCACCACCATTAGCACTGTGACATGCACCTTCACCATGCTCACCACTTGCACCCTTTTTCCCATCACCTTCCATGCTATGCTACTCTTCTCATCTAATCTACTTGAAATGAGACAGGAAAAAAGATTAGATCTAGTGACAGGTGCTAAAAGAAGCAAAAAGCTGTAAAATATGAATACTGCTTTGTATTTTACTGTGTTTGATGCCAAATACACACATCTTTTGGCTGATTTGTATATATCTATGCAAACATATTAAAATCCATTGTAACAAACACATTTTTTATAATAAGTAGGTTTGTTTATGTGAAAAACATGTACTGCAACCATGCCACACAAAGAACACTTGTTTCCACGCATACGTTTTGCTGTTTAATGTCCTATTACATTATGATTATTTTAACATTATGATATAAATAGGGAAATATGATATCTTTCACCTCATATTTATTACAATCTGTTGATTTTATTCACATTTTATGAAAAATATCAGCTCTATTTTACAGAGATCTATAATCCATATTTATGAAATTCTATTATTTTAGTAATGTTTTGTCATGAATAGTCTTCAGCTCATGCAAGCTGAAAGCTACCTTATTGGCAAGGCTATCATGCATTTGTTGTTTTCATTTGGCATAGGAAACAAAATTGTATAGGTGCCATTTTTTTCCCTTAAAGAGGTACTGACCAACCTAGCTGGGTCATGGGTCATTTTCCTAACATTATGTATAAAGTTCACAATATTGATAAAATTAAAGCAATTTGTTATAGTAAATATAGTTGTTATTAAAATAGTACAAATGAGATCAACTGAATTTTTTATTTTTTTCAGTCTGACATGAGACCACAGATTAATTATGTTGTAATATAAAGAATTATATAGCTACTCACATTTTTTATAATTTTTTAATTCTAATTTTTCATCAAAACATTTAATTGGTGCATGATGATGTCATCATATTACAAAAACTCTCCACCAACAGGAGGGCAACACAATCTTGATGTTCAGTAACTCTCCCTATGCACTTTCACTCATGGTAACTTTATTCTTCTCCTTGGCATTGTATTGAACGATCATTCCCAACTGAGGAGAAAGAATTTTGACTGACGGGACAGAAGTAGGAGGCCCAGTAAGCATGTGGTAATCCACAACATGTTGAAAAAATGCTACAACATCCTTGACAGTTAATGATCTTCCAGAAGCCACAGTAGAAATAAGACCTGTATGTGAATTACACCACTCACTCAGGTCAAAGTATAAGTCATTGTCATTTGAGAAATCAGGATAAAAACTAAAGATTTTGAAACAAAATCCAAAGAAAATGAAAATCAAAGCTTTATTAACAATACAAATCTCAAGAAATTGAATTCAGATGTGAAATTTAAACACATTTTTTTGGACTATGACAATTCTATCCAAAAATGGTTCACTCATATTACATTTTAAGAACTAAAGATGTGTGTTACAAAGCTGAAAATATCTTCTTTGAACTGCCACAAATGGATAAAACTTGAGTATTCACAACTGAATCATTATCCATAATGCTACCCTTGTTTTAAATAATAATTTTTTTATTCTAATGTTGCAGGATATCTACCATTTTATAAGTGCTAAATTTGTAGCAAGTGAATAATAACAATTTATAGTAGTAGAAGAGCATAATTAGCATACACAGGTTGTCAAAGAACATAGGATGGTAATTGACTTGTTAGAAGTTTAAAAAGTAATCTTATGTTTTATTTATTGGTTCTCCCATACATATTCTGTGTAAGTACTTAATTTTGTTCTTCCAAATTGTTTTTACTTTTTTTCTATTAATTTCTTAGTTTTAATGTTAGATTGGGTATTTTTTGGGTTTTTCACAGTGTTTTGAGATAAAAATTTTAAGACTCTGGAAACTTACTAAATTGTTTTTGACTCTGCACAGCTGGACTAGGAGAATTTCGAATTAGAGATCTAAATGATGATATCAACAAACTGTTGCGTGAAAAAGGCCATTGGGAGGTACGAATTAAGGAATTGGGTGGCCCAGATTACTCCGTAAGTGTTTAAATGTATGTAATGAGATTAAATATGCTCTTCTTGTAATTAAACAACAAGAAATTAAATTTGAAATATACATGTTCTTAAAATGCTGTAAGTGTTTTTACTAAGATTTTAAACTAATTACTTTTAACTGGTTTCTGTATGACATCAAAGAGATTCAGTGGTACTACGTACTGTTATTTTTAACTCTCTTATTACTGATTTGATTATATTCATTACTGGTGGGGTCTGATTTTTCCAAGCCCATTCCCTTGGCTGTGGTTTCACTAGATAGTAGATAGGGACAGTGAGTAATCTTTATTTTCGATATGGTACCTTATCTCTACTGCTGCCATCTATATGCAAATGTTTTCCCTTGCCACTAGTCTTGAAACCCCCACCTGCCTCATGATCAATGTGGTTCACTGTGTCTTTGCATATAAATTATCATGTGATAACCCTCCACCAGTGGGAGTGCAACACACTCTCCTGTTGCAGGTTACACCCTCTATTCGATTTCGCATAACATTCACTTCTTGTTAGACAGTCATCAAGTTCAGAAGTTTTCCTTTTTCATGCAAATTTACACGATACTTTTTTTTAAAACTATTATTTCAAGTTTCTCCAATTCTTTGTTAGCTGAAGGTTATTATCAAGTTAACTTTCTTTGTTTTCATTTTGGTTTGACATTTGACTTTTTTTTCAAACCTTTTTTCTTTGATTCCCAACTTCGTTCACAGTCGAATATGAATTCCAAATTTTGTGTCATGACTTCTGCTACTGAAACTATGACTTCAAATGTCGTGACACAAGCTTCAGGTATGGGGGTCTTGACTGAAGATGTATTGGCTTTAGTTCATTGGGAGATCAAACTTGACATGTGTCATCCCTCTTCTCCCGACCCTTCCCAGATGCTTCTGGTACCAGTGGAACATATTCATATTGATAATGATTTTGACAGCTTGTTTCCTCCACCCCCTTTACTGTGCAAACTAATGTGTCTATTGAGGATTCAGTCAGGCCCTTCTCAGCCTTTTTGGACATGATTTATCAAGTATGTTACCTTTTATCTGTATACCCAGTTTCATATGATCCTACCCCTTCCCTGTTACGTCCTGCTTCGTTGTCCAAGTACCTTGTGTATTCTCCTTTCTCTAGATAATAGGTTCTATGCTGATCATTTCCTGTCTCAACTGAGGGCAGGGGCCAGCATGCCCCAACCCCAAAGGCTTCAGATAATTATATCTTGGCTTACCATCGGGGGTGATTTTCCTTTTCTGGACTCTCGGCAGCTCGAATCTCTTTCGCCTGTCAAACAATCCTTCCATATCAACATCTTGGAGCTTCTGGCAGTATGTCGTGCTTTGGATCATTTCCTTCCTTTTCTTCAGAACAAATTGGTTATGATCCCTTCTGACAACTGTGCTGTTGTCTTGTATATCAGTCACCAAGGGGGAACCAGTTCTCATTTCCTTTGTTCTCAAACATTGGAACTCCTTTATTGAATCCACATGCTTCATGTACATCTCATGACACGTCATATTCCAGGTGCCTTCAACCTCATGGCAGACCATCTTTCCCAACTTGATCAAGTTTACCTCATGGAGTGGTCTCTCAACCCTCAGATTTTCCAGTGGCTGTACACTCAGTAGGGTACTCTTCACCTGGATGCTTTTGTCACTTGTCTCAAGTTAACTTTCTTTTGGTCTTGGTTCCTTATCTACAAGCCTTGGCTGTGGATGCTCTCAGTTAGGATTGGACCAACTGGTACCTATATGCCTACACCCAATCCAGTTCCTTCCCAGGATGATTTCAATCATCCAATGCACTCCGTGTCAGGTCCTCCTGGTTGCTCCTTTATGGCTGAAACAACCCTTATTTCCACTTTTTTTTCAGCTCCAAACAACTCGTCCATTACCTCTTCCTCTTACATCATCATCCTTCCTTCATTAGCCTCGGTTCATGGCCCTTCATTAAAGGATAGGTGATACCTGGAACAGGAAGTCAGAGGCTCAAGTGGAAAATGATATTGACGTCCCAATCCCGAAGGACTGCCCAACAGGGTGGATGGCTAATCCTGAACGAATGCAATAGCAGGGAAATGGTGGGAGAGAAAAACACAGAATGGTACCTGGATAAATGGATGGTATTGGACAAGACTACACAATAAACTGCAATGGACAAAAACTAAGCACCATGATTGTATACCCAGGTGAGGAAATCCACTAGGAGAGGGACAATGGGCCAAGAAGAAGAAACCCCATGTCCAAGTGATCAATAGTGTAAGACCTTCCACCTCCTTTGATAAGCTGTGAGGGATGAAAGGCAAATGGAACAGGATAAAAGGGATACTACATGCATGGAAAACCAGATCTCCTTGCAAGGGATTAGATAAATTCCATACATGAAGACAGTGTGCTATATCACTAACTCTAGCTATTATCATGAATGTACAATTTTGAAATTAAGAAATGGAAATTTGTATTTTTCTTCATGAAGTGCACAGAATAGTCTTAAATTATCTTCTTTGGGTCATATGTATAACTTCATGTCATTATCTTTTCACTTACAATTTATTTTTAATGTTTTATTTTCATTTCCATTTCTTTGTGTTTTATTATTCATGTCAATACATCAACTGCTGCCCATAGGCCATTATCAAGCTATAACCAGTAGACTCCAGGCAGAGAAATGATTTCTACACACAAAATGGCGTTTCCACACTCCTTATCTTTATAAGCTTTCAGAAACTAGATGACTACAGACAAAAATAAAAAAATCATATAAACCTTCCAAATATTAATTTTAAAACAAAAATAATACATAATTAACTAAAATATATAAGTAAAACCTAAATGCAATATAACTGTCTAACAAACTGTAAAAAATACATAAGCAACAAAATCTAAGGTCTTCAATGATATGCATGTCACATGACAAGACAACTGAAGATTTAAATGTTTTAGAGGTTTCTTTCAAAATAGATTAGTAAAAACTTGGGATAATATAAAACTTTAAATTGTAATGTATTTGATAATGCTAATTTCATTAAAATACCTTGATAGTAAAGTGGTTTAATTAGATTTTGAATGTAACTCAGTGACACTTTGTGCTATGTGCAAAAAGGAATTTAGAAATGGTAGTGGGTGTTATAGGGTAGAGATTATGCAAATGAAGTGGGAAAATTGTAAGATAATAAATAGTATTTTTATACTCAAAATTAAAATCACCTTGCAGGTGAACTATTCAGAGTCCAAGTGCAAGTGACTACGTTAAATAAAGAATTTTTTATTAAAAATAGTAGAACAAATCAAATTGAAGTATTTTATTTTTCTGAAACTACATACTTTTAAGAAAGTTCTTGTCAAATTTCAAACAATTTCATCCACCAGTTTTATTTATGGAACAAAAGACTTATTTGCTTCTCATCTCAGCCTTTGGGCATCGTCGCAGTTTGAGATTTTTGCCATCAACATTTCTCACACTCTTTTTCCATTCCACATATGTTCTTCTTTATCCATATTGATCATTCATGTCCAAAATGTTGGTGGTTCATTAGGGGAATTCACTTGTTTTCACCAATTTTCCTTTCCTGCATTTCCCACTTCTATTCCCAGTTGGATCCGGATAAATTTCTATGTCCTGTTCATGTTCTTCGTTGTTATATTGCCCACACAGCTTTCATCCTACTTCTTCATTCACTTGAACTTTTCCTCACAACATGAGCTTTTCCCCTGTACTCTGACAGGCTGGGTTTATCAGCTTATTAATCCGGTATATACTTCCCTGTCTCCTTCTTCCAAAAGGCTTTTGAAGATGAAGTCTCATCAAATATGACACCTTCTCCATGGCTTTTCATCTCCATCATCATTTGTAAGAGATTCTTTGGTCAGGCATGGGGACTGTCCCTTATACATTCAGCTCCCATTAGTTTCATTGGTGGCTGTTTCTTCCTCACCAGGGTACTGCCTTCCACCTGTCACCATACTTTAAACATCAGTTTGACTGTGACTTGGTAAGTTTCTTTTTTCTTATGGGGGCATGTTCCTATTAGGTCATGGATCCTTCTCAGTAGCAAGTGTTGCCTGTCCAGGTATACTTACTGCATATCAATCACAAAATTCTGTACTGTATGGCCTACCATAAATCATATTGGAGTATATTATCTACTGTCTGGTGGCCCAAGTGCTCCATCTCCATGCAGAGGCTGATGTTGCACAGACCCAGCTCTATTCAACCCCAGGGACTGTGTTTGTACATGGCGTTGGCCAATAATCCATGCACTTCAGCTTCTGTGCAGTTCTATCCAGAGGATGATGTTGCATGGGGTACACATATACCCCATGTGCTCTGACTTCTTGTATTTGGCCCTGGGGGTATGTGACACTATTCCATGCTCCACCTCCTGCCATTTTTGCTTGGAGGTTGTGATTACATAGTGCTGGGTATCTTCTCCATGCACCCCACCCTTTGGGGTTGTGTGCAGTAGTTGATGTTCCATGGGATATACTCTGATACTTTACATGCTCCACATCTGTGGGGATGGACCCAGGAGGAGGATGTTGCACAGCAAGGATTGGGTGTGATGTCCCACCCAAATTACTTTGGGCAGAGGCTGAATTCCCCAATCTAGATATATACCCTCATCCTACTATTGTCTGGATGTCAACTCCTAGAGAGTCGTTTTGGTTTAGAGCTGGACTAACCAACATTAGTCCTCACACGTGTTGGTAAGAATTCCTCGTCCTACCATAGTCACATGGTTCTGCCCCATGCACTCCTACTCTGTGTGGTTGCAGAGAGGTTTATGTTGCATGGGGCAGATGTAATCCCTACATGCAATCCACCTTCATGAGGTTCAAACCTAAAGGATGATATTGTGCAGAGTGGAACAGGTTCAATTGATCTTGGAATTAAGTGAATTGTCACACTGACACATCCCTTTCTACTGTCGTTCAGATGTTGGGTTCCCGAGTGGCTGGTGTTGATTGTGGATTTCATACATGTACCCTGTTTAGTAGGACTATATGAAATTTCTCCCTTCTGTCTCCTAAACTTGAGGGGAAGATGGTGTGGACCCTCCTCCTACCATAGGTCAGATCATACATATGATGGCACCTGGTTTTGAACTGAAGTTGACCTGACAGGTAAGGTCTGATGGCCCTAGCCTTTCTGTGCCATGGGGCACATCTGTTTTAGCTTTTCCCACCATTATTTCTGTATTTGGGGGACCTTGCATGTGTTTGTTTCTTGGATTATGCTTTCTGGAGACTTCAGTGGGATATAGAGCCGGACCAACCGTCTTTTCTATCAGAGGTGTGCTTTTTATGATTCTGCCCAATTATGCAACACTTACTACCACACTGGGCAAAGAGTGTACCTTGTACAGAAGTGGTGTGGTCTTTCCATGGATGTTCTTCAGACACTTTCTTTGCACTGATCCCTCCACCTTTTCAGTGTGGGATTCTACCTGTTATTTGAGTGGAGGTAAGGTACTGTATCAGAAGTTATTATTTTCATACAGTGAAAATATATTTCCCACCCTTCCTCCCCACTACTGGTTTGGTGAAATCGAATCGAGGGAGTAACCTGTGTCAGGAGAGTTTGTCACACTCCTATGAGTAAAGGACTGTCACATGATAATGTACATGTAAAGACACAGTGAACCACATTGATTGTGGGGTATGTGGAAGTTTCAAGGCTATTTGGCATATAGAGGGCAGCACTGAATGAAAAAACTATTATGTGAGAGAAGGGAAGCGGCTATTGGAAATATATTTTCAGTGTAGGAAAATAATGACTTTGACTTGTTCCAACACTTAGTAACAGGAGCTGTACATGAAAACTGTGTGAAATTTCATAATTGTGTAAAATACATAAGAAACCCCAGCAGTAATCAGTAGGATTAATTATAATATTGACATTTTTTGTGTATAACTCGTGTTATTAGGGACGTTGTAACCAACAGAATCCTGGACCCCTAAGAAATTTGATGCATAAATAGTTTAGAAATATTGGAGTCCAGGATTAAATAGTTTATTGGTGATATCAGTAATATCGTTTATACAAATGTTTGTGTTTATACTTATGTTCATGAAGTATATTAATTTTTTGAAGGATGTTCTTAATGTCAGTGTTTTGTTAAAACAATAGCTGTGTTTTTGTAAATATGTTTTGGAAAATTATTATTATACTTTCATTGCTTTATTTGGTACAACTGTGCAAATTTCTACCTTTAATTGTTTATTTAAATCTTCACAGAGGGTGGGACCAAAAAATGTTAGACCATGAAGGAAAGGAAGTACCTGGAAACAGAGGCTATAAGTAAGTTTTTAATTTATTGTTGAAATTTGGAATGATATGTCTTTCCATGAGCCTGTTTTGCTTTTCTTTCTGAAGCTGTTAGATACTTGTGGTGGTCAAATGTGTTTGGACTGGTTACCTAAAGATTACAAAAGTTATTTTCATCTGTAATAAGCTTCCCAGTGTTTTGGACTTGAGAGCTTATAACACTAATATTTGGTGTTTGATCCCTGCAATGGCCACAGCACAAATAACCCATTGTGCAACTTTGAGCTTAACAACAAACACAACCATTAACAATAAAATGAAAATATTTGCTTCAACTGGTCACACTTGTATATATGTATATAATATTTTATATGTGTGAGTGTATGTGTATATATATATAGAGAGAGAGAGAGAGAAAGAGCTTCTTATTTTGGTGTAACATACATATTTAGATACAGATAACAGATTATGTCTTAAAAAGAAACAAATTAAAGTTGTACCATTTGTAGACACTACAAAAGGTAAAATTCTTGAAGAGAATAACTGTACCAGTTAGTAAATCAATAATGATAAGGACCCAAGCATTCCCATCCGCAATTTATCAATTCCAACTGTACATCCAGTTGTTTAAATGTTAATTACCTCTATATGGGAGGGGGGGGATATATATTTTAACCCCATACCCATCCACTTTACCAGATTTTATTGTTAGGCCTAAAACTTGTAATAAAAATTGTTAGACTATGCATGTTTTTATCACATTCCTCTTAATTTTTTCAATAAGGATTATATATTAAAGGTGTGTAGAAACATTATTTCAGATCTATCTATCTGTTGTCTTCCACCACAACATGATTTTTACCACAAATATTAAGTCTTTTGATTAACGATTTGTTTTATCTTTCATCAGTCAAAACCATAACTTTAAAACATTATTATTTTATTTTAGTTTTTTCTCTTAGCGAGTCATCTTAATATTTTTGTTTTTATATACTTTCTTGGAATTGCTACTGAGAAATGAAATAAAATTATACTTTACATTTTATGCTACTAGACAATGAGTATTGCATATGAGAGTGCTATGAAAGTGATAGTATAATACCATGTTATTTAAAAATGTTCTTATTTTCACCTTGTACATTTTAGATATACAGTCGACTATTTTCTCTCTATATTAATGTATATAGCTATCTTACCTCTTTTTGATGTTTTGATTTGTTCATTAATAAACTAAAATATATTAATTGCTAAGTATTAAAGTGTACCTCCGTATCTAACAAAGATACGTGTAAGTGTTTTTAATGTCAAACATCTTGATTAATACAGTTTTTTTTCTGTATTTACTTGGGTGAATCGACAAGTTCAACTCAATATTTGAATGTATTCTTTTTGTATATGTAAGAGCTTATGACTTTATTGGTTACTAAGATTTAGAACTGAGGTTGTTTTAGATTTATAGGTTTTCCATGAAAAGAAGAACTTAATATAATAGCAAACAACCGTCTTATCTGTTAGCTGCTTCAGTGAAGATTATGTACTAGTAATGTAGCTTATGCTGTTATTTTTTAATAACTTTGTAGTTTAAAGTAAAACTAAGTTATAAAATAACATTAGACATTCAATACAGACTGACTAACTTAGGAAATAGACTTTAAAAACTGTTTCTTCCTTTTATTGAAATTGACTTCTTTGTTTAAGATTTAATATCTATGAAATTCTATAAGGAGTTTTTTATGGTGGTGTTTTAGCCTTAACAGGGTTTTTTTGACAAAAGTTACTATTACAACATAATTTCTTAAAAGAATTATGTGTAGTTCACTTAAGTCAGTAAGTGTTCTCTCAGAAAAAGAACAATTGTTTTATTGTATTGAATAGTTTCTAATTTAAAATTTCTTGCTGAGTGATAAAGGCTTATAGATATTCTTATTAAAATATCATATTTTTTCATCAAAGTATTTGCATAATTTTATTTAAAGGTTCTACTTTATTTCCACATATAGAGGATTTAAAACTGTGTATTGTACACTCCATACACTGAGTGTGTAAGTCTTCAATAAGTCTTCTGTTGATATTCAATTGAAAATTTAGTTTTTTCTACTTTATCTAGGATATTTTGGAGCAGCCAAAGACTTGCCAGGTGTTCGGGAGCTTTTTGAACAAGAGCGTGAGTAAAACTTTGTTATCAAAATTTAATTTACACCAGTGAACCAAATGTTATAGAATACCAAATGAAACAGAAAAAGAGTAAAAAAGTTGTGGTGTGGGAGGAAATAAATATAATTTTCCTTTTCTAGTGTTTACAAGTATATTTTCACAAATAATGCATACAAGCTATTGTAGTGATAGTTCTAACATTCTAGACGTGGATTGTTATGGAAGACAACTCTTAAGTTCATCAAAATAGTATTTTAAATATCTCCTCAATAAGTCACTATACTATACTATATAGTGCTTCCTTTTATAACAATATCTATGTAATGACTGAGCCACAAGTTCAGGGAATGTCTGTCAATATCATAGCAAAAAATTTGAATTCCTTCTTCTTTCTTCTGATTCTTTTTTTTATTACATAATAACTCAAAAAACAAAACAGTGTTGTCAACCAGTTTCACTGAGGTGACATACTTTCAAACAGAGTATCTGCTTTTATAAGTTTTATGAATAACTAGTAGTGATTTTTAAAAAAATCATAATTCTTGTGTAAATTATGTCATCATTACCCTTCGAAGTTTACTTTCTTAAAGAAATTTGATGTTCCTATAAAAAACTTACGTACAGGGTGAAATAGGAATTACCAGCCAGTAATAGATAAACAACAAATATTACAGTTGAAACCTCATGGTATGTCTACTGAAACACTACATTAAAAAAACAAGTAAAGAAAAAACATTTCAAAAAAGGAAGTAAATGCTGGGGTGGCTAATATCAATCCTTCAAAAACAGTGCAAACAAGATAGTAGGGATGGCGCATGCATCATCTCAACATAATAGCACAGGCAAGAATTAACATCTAGAATTAAGAATTAACCTGTTTTTGTTTGTTAACATTCTAATACACTATGTGCCTGTGCTGTTTATGTGGGGGTGATGCAAATGCCATCCCTACTATCTTGTTTGCATTGTTTTTGAAGGATTGATATTAGCCATCCCTACATTTACTTCCTTTTTTAAAAGTTTTTTCTTTAATTGTAACCTTCAAGATGCAATCACCAGCCATTTCTATATTTGATTTGCTTGAATTAATTTTAATTTGTGCATAAAAGTTTTCATTTTATTGAAAGAATGAAATGCATAAGTCACATTTGCAAGGAACACGGCTTTAGTGCAACAAGTTTGCTTCAGTAAAAAGTCTTAGTCTATAATTTTGCACTGTGATTGTAAATTCATGATAATCAGATCTTATAAGTCAATATGTAATATATATATATGAGTGCTTTTAACTTGTATGAAGCTTCACATTTGTTTGTTTTTTTATATAACAGAAGCATTTCACTTTTCCTCTTGATATTCAAAATTCATTTATAATGATGTTTAATTGTAAAAGCTAAACAGAGAATGAAAAAACACATGCAAGCATAAAGAAATATATACCTTTTTCTCAGTCTAAATTTACTGTCATATCAGATATCACTAAACTATTGTTACTGAACTTGTTTTGTGAAAAAAAACACTTTTTTTTTTAATTGAATGTTTTTCTAATGTTTCTGGCACAGTAAGTTAAGATATTATTCCTCAGATTATTTTGCTTCACAGTGCTGAAATTTTATCATGTTTAATATTCATGTAATCACCATTAATGTTAACTAAATACAGATGCTTCACTGATTCAAAACCAATATGAAAAGAATTCATAAATTAACAAAATTCTTAAAAGTTGAATATTTTCATGTATATATAACTTATTTTTGCTCTCCCAAATTTCAGAATCCTAAGTACCAAACAGCATATTAATTATGAATTTGTCAATAGTACTATTTTTGATTTAATTTGTAGCATTAAATATTACTTAAATCTGATTGTTAAATCTGTGACAAAAATTAATCATAATGCAGTCAGGTACTGTTAAGTTGTAATAATACTAATGTTTTCTGTGAAGATGAAACCAATTTCTACCCACCCAATTTCTTTTGCATTAAGTATATACCATGGTTTAAAATGTACCATAATACCAAAAATAATTTCAATAAATAAATGCAGTTTGCACACAAATTTTGGAATGAATATGTACATATTTAGGGGACTATTTATCACTGTGTCTCGTTGGTACGTTGAACGCAGCTTTGGTTCAAATTATATGTTTCTGATGTCCAAGTACAAAATCTATGGTTTCTTACGAATTAGAAACTCAAATTACCAATATTTACAACTAGCGTTGTAAGTCTGCAGACATACCGCTGTGCTACTGGGGGTGTGTGTATATGACGAAGTATTTCCAAAAATGCAAGAGGTGGGCATGGCCACTGTGTTTGATTTGCTAAATATACTGGTATCTCAGCAAATAGAAAAGATTAATTCTTATTTTATATTTTACCGAGACAAAAGAAATAATCTTGGAAACTTCCCACCTTCAAGAGACTGAGAAAATCACATGGAGGTAATTCTGAGATTTTGATTGGTTACAAACACATGATAGAGCAAAGCAGGTGTACATAAGGTTTGTTTGTAATTAAGCCCAAAGCTACACAATGGGCTATCTGTGCTCTGCCCACCACGTGTATCAAAATCCGGATTAAGTCTTGGAAGGAAGGGGTAAATGAAAATGTTGTTCAGAAAACAATATTCTTTTAGACCCAAATACAGTATAGTAAGGCTGATAAATTACAATAAAATTCTGCAATACTGATAGAGTAATTTATATTTTTTTATTTCAAAATGTATATATAAAACCAAAAAAGTTATTTTGTTTTACATCCTCCATATGCGAAATTCAGCAAGGCTTGGCATGCAAGATACGGCGAGTACAAACTTCTTTAAAATCTTATGTAGTAGAAATCATTGTTTTCTATATGTTTTTGTTTACTGTTCTATGTTTGAAGAAAATGTTAGATATAAAAGACTATTTAGGGTAAAACCATTACTTAGTTAATTTAGTGATCTCGTATTTAATGATTACTTAGTTTTATAACAAGAGTGTTAAAGTTAATTATTTTATAGGTGATAGTTATAACAAATTTCATTACGTAACACTGAATGAGTTGTACATTATGTATGCAATTAGATTGTTGTACTAGGCTTTAGTAATATTGTTGAAATCAAGTTACTCGATTCTTTGGTGTTTTTCTCATTACCTTAAGTGAGTATTGTTCCATAATAGCATCTCTTAGTTTATAGAAAGTTCGAGGCCTCAGTTGGGCAAGGTATGTATGTAAGCGACCAAGCGAGTGCAAGTAAGTAAAAGTTTAGTAAAGTGAAATTCAGTCAGAAAAAAAAGAAAACGTGAAGTTAGCCAGTCTGTGAATGATTAACCTTAATGGGTGGTTTCTATTGTGTGTTTCACAGCTAGCTGTATTGTAACAACAGAGATAGGAAAAATAATATATCTTGTCAATTGAGTTCCAAAGTAATTGAATCAGCCTGTGTGGACTTCTGCCAAAAAAAGAAACAATTATTTAAAGCTCTGGATACAACTGTGGTAACCAACAAAAGAAGTTAAGTCAGAAAAGGATATGTCAGTGAAAGTGAAGTTAGACTGTGTGATTGTTAGTTTAGCTGTAATAGGTGATATTTTGAAGTGAGTTTAACAGAGATAAGGAGAATAATTTGTCTTGTCAGAGGTTATTCTAAAGTAATTGAACCTACCTGTGTGGACTTTGACGAAAATGTGACAATTATTTAAAGTTCAGGATACAACTGTGGTAACCCATGAGGTAATGTAAGGGAATCATTCACTGATACTATTGTGATAAAATAAGAGAAAAAATAATTTGTCTTGTCAATTGGATTCTAAAGTAATTATATCAGTCTGTGTGGACTTTTGACAAGGAAAGAGAATTATTTAGAATTTCAGATAAAATTGTAATTTCCTATAGTGTAAAGAATTTTTTGTACATACGTTTGACTTGTTTTGAATATATTATTTTAAAACAAGTGGATTGTGTGGTGTCCATTTATTGTTCAAATTTATCACCAACAAGTCACAGACACTTACTGTAGAGGAATCCCAGCCCACTCATATTTAAAACCCTGACAGAAAAATATCTGAAATTTAAGAACTTATTTGTAAATAGTAATAATATATATACACATATGTAATGTATTGTAACTGAAATGTAACTATACTTTACAAAAGAGTGGTCCACTAGAACAAAGTCATAACACGTCACTTTGTAAAGGCCAGTTTTATAAGGTGGAATATGGTAACATGAGTGCATGTGAGCTGCATTATTGCAACTTCTGTAATGTTAGTCAGACATGGCTGAAATCTCAATACAACAAAAATAATAAATATATATAAATGTATAACGTTATGAGATTTAATCTATTTTGTCTAGAAGGAAAAAGCGTAACTTATATCTATTTCCTAATTTTTTTATAGAGGTTATGTGGTTGGTCAAATTGACCAAACCGATACCGAGATACAATAGTGAAAATAACAGATAAAATATAAAGTTTTTCTAAAGAAAACATTTGATAATTATCTGGAGGTTATTAGAAAGTTATAAAGGTTTTGCATGTGAAATTTGAGAATTTTTTGATCCATAAAAGTATTTTTAATCTTAAAATCAAAATTTCGTTGCATGTTGGATAGTTAACATTTGCAAAGAAAAAATGCACAAGCATCAATTAAAAAATCATAAAACTTAATACAAAATCTGATATTTTGTGTAAGAAAGCCTTGTAATGTTTACTGAAAATCTGCAGAATTCTGTGAAGATGCACATAGTGTATTAAAAGTTGAAAACTATAACAAGCACAAGATGATTACAAGGTCAGTCTCTGGGACTGAACTGCCATAGTGAGAGAGTTAAAGAACTAACATTTACTATACTTCTGAATCTACTAAGTATATCTTCTTAAAATTTGGTAAGCTTTTAGTAAACATTATAGATAAGTTGTACAAAAAATCAGTATTTTTAATTAAGTATTTCAACTAAAGACTTGTCAGAATTTACAGAGTCTAAGTGCAAAGTGATTTTTGTTAAAAATGAAATTACTTTTTCATCTTACAAATTTCATTTTTCATTTACATAACCGTTAGATCCTCATAATTAACTATCAAAAGTGTTTTTGTTTTCAGTGAAACATACTTTATCTCTTATTTTCTGTACCCTAACAATGATGGTAGCAGAATCATCTGTAGTGAAAGTTGAAAAATATGGAATAAAATCAAAAGTACATATTTTTTTTCTAGAATGACTGTCAAATGTAACAGATAATTATAATTATTTATTCCAACATCTTAAGTCCTCTAACATTTTCACATGTGCTTTCAATTAATTTTATTCTTTTATTGCTCATTGAACCATGTCTAATTACTGAGCTTGTGTAATAAAGCAATAAATCACCTGGCAAGAGGATAGGGCAAGTTACAGTAAACAAAGTCTTGACTACATCACACACAAGCTGCTTGCTTACATCCATTGTGGAGAAATTTTTGTATTTAATTATTTTTTCGTTTAAGTTTTCTTATTTAATCCGATAAATTTTTAAATTTTTAGTTACTTTTGTAATGATAAATTAAAAATGTACATAAAAATTAAGGAATTTAGCTATTGAGATGCTTGCAATCGATGTAATTATCAATGTCTCAAACATAACTCTAGAAATATTGGTACCATGTAAAATTTGTTTTAAAATTCTAATATGCAATTTGAACACAAAATATTGGCATGCTCAAAATAACTAATGTCCTAAAAATGCTATAATTTAACTGGCTTTCTAACTAAGCTCTAACCCTGTTTACAAAATTTGATTAACTGGTCAAGATAAGACTAGACAAAATCAAACAAAAGAAGTGAGGTCAAATAATTCAAAACTGAACAATTCTAGCATCATTGATATTCAGTAAATAAAAATATATTTCTTTTGGTTGTAAATAATCCAGTAGCAAATTTCAAAATGAATTATTGACATTTTTTGAAAGAATATGATAGAAAGGACATGGCATGTGGGTTTCACTTTATTACATATATCTCAGTAAAGCAAGAAGCTTAGAATTTATACAGTTACATTTCAGCTTGGAAATATCTAGTTTCAGTGTGTAATTTGTCGGAAAGTTACAAGATCAAATAGGGGTACAAAGAAAACCTAAAATGGGCAAGTCAGAGTGAAGAAGTGTTGTGATACAGGGAAGTGAAGACTGAGAATCTATTTAAGTATTTCCTTTTGAAATTAAAATTTGTATAATATAAAAAATTGAATTATAAGCTATGTTTTGATGCCAAGTTCACTGAAATAAATTGATAATAAACTAAATAAATTTTGAATGTAACTGTAAAGAGGTCATGACGTGCACTTTGCCCTCCCTCCATTTGTGTGCACAAGGTTAAAGAGTAATGTACTTTTGAAAATTTTAGCAATGCTTAGAGGGCAAATGAAGGTTGGAATAGCTTTGTGTAAGATGAGGAAAGTACCTATCGGAAATACATTTTTCAATTTTAGGAAATGTTAACTTAAATTTGGTTCTTATTAATTATTAACATATAATATATCCTCTGTTCTTTGGTTGTGATTGAAGTACTACATTCATGATGATAAAGATGCATGCTTCAGAAAGCAAGAATTTTAAATAAATATTTTATTAAAGAGTATATTATTTCAATTTATTTCTGTTGTGCACAGTGAGTTTTTAAACCAGGCAAAAAAGTTGTTTTACATGTCCATAACAGTGGAGTGATAAGTATGATCATAAACGCTGTGAAACATTTATACTGTGCATATAAATTTCATGTTGTTGAAAAAACTTAATGTAATCTAGTTTCATGATTTGGTATATATATATTATTGGATACATAGTTTTTGCATTTACATTTGCTATTTTTTTATTTGTATTACTTGTAATATTTTAAGTCAGTCTCTGTTTCCACTGTAAAATACTTAATATTTCATTGTTAAACAAAGGTCTTTTCCAAATGTTTATATAATATATGGATTTACAGCTCCTCCAGCTCCTCGTAAAACAAGGGCTGAACTAATGCAGAATATTGATGCAGATTATTATGGTTATCGTGATGATGATGATGGAATTTTAGTTCCACTGGAAATGGAACAAGAGAAGATAGCTTTGGCAGCAGCAGTTGAAGAATGGAGATTAAAGAAAAAATCTTTGATTTCAGAAGATAAGATTGAACAGGAAGTAAATATATATGCTGTGACTACAGAAGAACTGGTAAGAATTCAACATATACTCTGCAGAAGGTTCTTAGAATTATTGCCTGATATTAATTATACTACTAGATAATGAAAGGAATAACGAGAAATAACGGGTTGTAAAAAAGTAGTTAAGATTTTTTATAATGACTAACAACTATATTGTTATTAAATTTCTTATTTAGGATAGTT